CATCACCAGCTAATCCTGTTATAAATTATTTAGCACTCAGAATGTACCAGGGAAGAATCCTCAGCTGAATGAGCCTTACACACACACACTGGTGTCCTCCAGCAATTTATTTGTAATTACCATTTGCCTTTTTTCCATCTCTAATGAATGCCTGACATAACTTCAGCAGAAAAAAAGAGACATGACTAGTTACATAATTACAGGTTAAAAAATGATCTTTTTCAGCTCCATGCACTGAAGTAATCTTAAGGGTGAGGGTTAAGCACAGGCAACACACAGTACAAACTGCTTTGCAAAAGGTTCTGTACACTGACCACAGCAACCTCTGTGTGGCATTACCTCTGAAGGAAGAGTTTGATCTCATAGTAATACTATAATAACACAGAACTTGGAAGTATTATCACTCATGTCTTGTTCCTGGGACTCTGTCTACAAAAGGACAGTAAATTTGCTCTTGAAATCATTACAGAACATGAATCACATATTTAAAGTTGCCATTAAGTGCCAAGAGAAGATCAAAATGGATATTCTATGAGCAAAAATTTCTAGGGAAAAAAAATAAAAGAAATCTGCCTTTCATGTCTTCAAGGAACTGCTAAAAATAAGGTGTTTCATCAAAATAGGAGATATGATTTCTCTGAGCCTGATCCCACCACAGGCACTTCTGTGCAAGCTGCTTCAGGCAGCTCATCTCCTTTCCAGATCATAGATTTAACTATGTTTATTATCACAGATCAAGAAAGTAATTTCTAAATACAATATTCATACTTTTCAGCCCCAATGGGGCAATTCATTCAGAGCAATTTGTGACTTTCAAGCAAATTAATACACACATTTACATCTCATGACTGTTTAGAGTAAAACAAAGAGGCCTCAAGTAGAAGTACAAATAAATAAATCTGAGTCACTAAACTGTTTGCATTAGTGAAGAGTAAGATGCTCCAGGGAAACTGATACAGCCTGATTTACTATCAGTCTGTGGACCTTTTCAGGTCATTGAGTTACAGCCTCTGTGTGGCTCCTCCCAAACTTTCACCAATCCTGCAGGAAAGCTGCATGTGACAGTGCCAAGGCAGCTGGGAGCACATTGTCCTGGATAAACTAATACAACTGGGAAAAAATATTTCACTTTTACACTTTTTGCAAGGCACTGATGCAAAATCCAAAGCAAATAACACTTACTGGGTGTCTTTCCTCTTCTTCTTCTGAGGGTCCACGAGCCTCAGAGTGTCTCTGATGACAGCAACTTTCACTTCTTCATCCACAGGGCTCGGGACATTTTCAAACACTCCAGGAGAAAGCTTTACATTACAAAGGGACACAGTTATTCACTCTAGAACTAAGGATTATTTATTCCACGTTCTCTCAAACTTCAGGCACATCATCTCTCTTTTAAACACACAATGATGGATTACAAAATACACAAATACCTTCCCAGACCTTCAGTGTGGTGCTAAAGCAAATTGTGGCAAACTTCTCTAGTAAATTGAAAGATTAGAATAAAAGGTTGTTGCCAATGTTACTGTTTATACTATGTATACAAACATGAAAAGGATTATTAGCAATCCCCTAAACACAATTAACAACTGCAGGGGATGATGAATAAATAAATGCATTTATGACAAAGATGATGGAGAGCTTTCACAATTCCAATAAGACATATTTCCAGTATATAAGATTAGCAATGATTTCAAAGCAAAAAATTACAGAGAACCTTGGAGCTTTCATCTTTCAAACCAGGAAAAAAGCCCAGAAAACCCAACCTAAGCAATTTCATTCCAGTATCACCATCGCACTGAGAAGTCTTACCTCTTGCTCATGTTCTATTCTCATGCTGGGGTTTGCATTTACTTCTAGCAACATGGGCTTCAAGTTTTTCATCAGGAGAATGTCAAACCCTAAAATCTGTGCAGAACAAGCAATATGTTACTTCAGATCTACTCACACTGTTCTCCTAGAGAAAGCAATGGTTGTCCATATGGCAACATTGAGGAGGAAGAAATGTTTGAGGGGCAGAAGAGAAATAACTGAGAAACTATATACTGCTGACTAATTACAGAAACCATTTGTCTTGGATACTAATGGCTCCTTTCACACCACCCCCAGCCCTAAATACTGCATCTGCCAACAGGGAATCTTAGCACCCATGACAAGTGGATCCTAAAATTGCCATAGCTGTATTAGGGAGCTGCAAAGCTTCAGTTTGAACACCTAGAAGATGGAGACTGGAATGAATATTCTAACTAACAAATTGCACCTATTGAAAATTCCCCACATATGTTTAGGGCTGGGAGTAACACAGGTGAGGAGACTGAGATTTGACTCAGGTGAGAACAACCTAAGCTCTGAGCTCCTGCAATGCTGCTCAGTGTATGAACCTACACCAACCAGTGATCAGCAACGTAACTAGAGAAACCTTTAGACATTAAACATCCAGAACATTAATCCATGCAAAAATACCTGCATTCCTGGCAGAACTTCCAACCTACCTGGAAGCAAGTTGGCCCAGGCTTTCCTGCTGGTATGTCAGACTGATAGTAAACTTTCAGTTCTGGTGTCAGTGCAATAATTGTTTTAATCACCAGTGAAATGATATCTGACCAGACCTTTTTGACATCAGCTCCTCTGGAAGACAGTCTGCACAAGATGCTTGAAAATGTCCTCTTGCTGCCAGTATTTACACTGTCAGAATGGATGAAATTCCCGCTGTGGATATTTAGTGAGTAGTTAGTTAAGTGCATAAAAACCTGGTGCAAATTTTTGAGAGTGGGTTCTTGATAGGGTTCTGTACAAAACCTAGAAAGTCCATCTTTGGCTATATAAATCTCCAAGGGTTCTAAGGATTTCAGTAAGACATAAAGACGAATATCAAATTTCAGTTTGTCCACAAGCAGTGGTTTGCAGATATATTCCTGGACCACAGCTGGACGGCTCTGGATGCTTCCTGTCAGCCTGATGTCACTTGGGTCTTTGATGAGGTAGATTCCATCCCCCTGGCAGCCTCCATCAGGTTTGACAATAAATGTGGGCTTCCAGGACGGATCACTGTCTTTCATCATGCGAACCTAGAAGGAAAGGCACTACCTGAGGGGGGAGGAAGGGCTGGTACTATGGCAGCCAACAAATTGCATTCACAAACAAAAAGAAATCAGAAGAGCATGATCACATCACCAGAGTAGTAAACACCGTGCAAAAAAAGGTAGAAGATGAACAGTGCTGACAAGCACAAGGACAAACAAGAAGCATGAGGAGGGAATTACTAGCACAGATAAAGGTCATTTGATTTAACAAGTCATTGTGTAGATGATTTCAGGAACTTCTTTTTAATGTTGTGTCAGTTTACAGAGGAAATGCAGTTTATCTCACAAGATCCCTTTTGGTAGTCAGTAATGTACATGAAACTGCCAAGTTAAACTTTTGTGCTGTGTTTTGAAAAACAACTGACCAAGATAATCACTAACCGAAAGAAAGGTGCCTTACTCATTGAGGTACTAATGCAAACAGTATCAGAAGAAGAAGAAATGAATGAAAAATTTAGGCTTTTTCCACCACTGAATACTTTTCATAATCAAATACCCAGTGTTAGCAAAACTAGGGAATGTTGAGCCATGTACAGGTATAACTAGGTCACTGAATATCAGATCTTTCATGTTACAGGTGTATTTCCCACTGCCCAAGTAAATCTTAGTTTATTTATTACCCATACAGCAAAGTCAGAACTGCAGAGATGGTGATGCCTCAATTGGCAGAAGTGAAATTGAGAAGGAAGGGGAGCCCTAACAAAGAAAGCAGCTGAAGAAAACGCAGCACACAGGCTAACAGGTTTATCAGGTACCCATGGGATTCAGAAGAACAAAGCACTGAAAACCTCTTCTTTTCAAAACAGAGGGATGTCACAGCACAGATCGCTCTCTTCTTGCAGTCACACACTTTAGGGCACCAGACCTGCAGCTGCTATGCTCTCCCTTCAGCCAGGCACGTGCTGAACCAGGTTGGTTTTACCCCGGGGCTCGCCAGCGACAACTGGAGATTGACTTTTAGAAGCCTGAGGACACAAGCTAACAAAGAGAAAACAATCAGTTGCCACCATCAGCCTGGCACTGCAGAATGAAAGAGGAAGAATGAGCCCACAGGAAAAGGCAGAGCATGGTGAGATCATCGTGATATCCAAGCACCAACCTCTGCCATGACATTAGGCTGCTGATCCCCACAAAAGGTTCAGCTCTGCTAGCAGTGACATTCCCAAGCTCTGAAGGACTTCTGGCTCCATCCTATCCAGTTGTTTATTTCACTGAGACTCACACTGCTAAAAGCCTTCCCGCCAGCTGCAGCAGAAATTCCAGATCAATTATCCAGACAAGAGTTTTTCTCATGGACAGGTGTCACACTGACTCAGTGAAAGATCCTTCTTCAAAATAGGTCACTTTGAGGGACGAAACGCCTCACTGCAGGTCAGGCTTACATAAAAGGCACATGGATAAATAGGTCCAAGTAGATCAGCAGGCCTAGATGTGCAAAGAAGGAAAGCAGGATTTATGCCCTAGTCTTTTTTTTTCCACTATAGAATAATCTTCCCCTGATGTGACATTACTCTGCAGAGCAGAGGAGCTTCTCTGGTTCACTGTTGTCAAAGTCAGCATCACAGAGACACCTGGTTAATCTTAACCCTCCATGACTAAACATACCCTGCTATGACTCTAGGTGAATGTACAAAGTGCCAATCACGGTCTACTAGGGCAGAAAGTAGTACAGAACCTCTATGAAACCAGCTGGAACAATCTGCCTGGCAGCCCCATGTCTGCTGCTCACCCCTCAGGCTACTGGCTCTGCACAGCAGCACCTTTCCAAAAGGGATGATGCCTTCCAGGGACTATTGCTTAAAGATGCACCAGCAACCTGCTTTTGCAGTACTGCATTGAAACAACCACTGGACTCAGAGACCTCATGCTTAACTCTTCCAATTTAGCTGGAAGGAATTTTCTCCATCATTTTCTAGTCCATTTTTGATGGACTAAAAGGCCTGGATATAATTCAGGCTTTCTGGCCCATCAAAACCTACACGTGGCAGATGAAGATAGGATGGTGGGGAAAGGGGGAATAGTAATCCAGAGTCATTCTGCTTTTCAGTAGATTGACTGTCTTGGAGAAAACAGATGGTTTCTTGATCTTCAAGGAAATTCCCAACAGTCATCAAATTCTCCACAATCCCCTCAACCACGTTCTTTCAGATTCTCATTATGAGAAGGCTTGTCCAGACTTAGAAAATTCAGTCATGTAGGAAAATTAGTCCCTATGCAATGAGACATTTCTGTGTCCTTAGCTTGAGAGAAGGAAATTAACTTCAAAAACAAGATAACCATTTAGAGGCAACAGCAAAAGGAGAGTCTGATGAAAACCTGATGCAGTTGCAGGTTTGCCTTTCATGAGGAAGCACAGGCTGAATGAATATAGTGTTCTGGGAAAAATGCATATAATGGGCTATAAGATTTGACAGCACAAAGACCAGAATATTCATGCCTATGCCTAAGAGGTATCCAAAAGCTGAAAACCTGATTAAACCACCAAAGTCTGCTGTGCTGGAAATGAGACTGTCCAAATTAGATTCTTATTAAAAATTAATCATACTGGCCTATTCATCATCCTCACTGACAACACAAAGAAGGCAGTATGAGAACAATGAAGGTCCTGGTTGGGATCCCAAGACAGTTACTTTTCAGAAATCAGAATTTCATATGAGAAATAAGTTCTCAGCACACACATTCCGACAGATTCTTCTCTGCTAGTGAAGGAACAATCACTGCAGCACCTGAGAGATTTCCTTGCCTGGAATTCATCTGTTGTGGTGATGTGTTCATACAAAATGCTTAAAAAGGTAAAAAAATTGGTGAATATTGAAAATAGCTGAATATATATTTACTTAGCAAAATGAACTTTTAAGCCCTTGTTGAAAATACCCATCACCAGTTCATTTCAACACAACTGACACTCAGGGAACTAACTACCTTTTTGTTGGTGTTTCCTATATGAAGCTCATGGACCACAAACTCAAGAGTACAGTTTTCTCATCAATTACTGCCTCTTAAAGCACAGAAGATTAGCATTAGATTACCTGTAATGTTTTCTACCTGAGCCTAGGTATAGGGGAAAGTGGGATAAGCTGAGAACAATTGATCTTGTTATGGATACATATGCATGGAAATTCACACTCATGTCTACAAAAGTGAGGCACTATCAGAATATTTGAGAGAGAAGTTGTGTTGAAATGTTGTAGTGCATCAGGGGGAGGCAATGAGATTTAAATTCTCAAGGAGCTTCTTGTTACAACAGCCCTTTCTACTACAGGCAAAATCTCACAGCTGTTCCTTTTCAGTCCAGTCCTTTATGACAAACTCCTACACTACAAACAGCACTGAACCATCTTCTCATCTCTAACCTACACTGACACAAAACTCGTGACCTTTGATAACTAACATATTCCAGAGGATTCCAGTTCCTATAGGGACATGTCAAACGTGCAGGCACCACCAGTGCTGTACTGCACTTGCCTATGAACAAGCTGAAATGCAGTCTCAGAGAGCTGAGGGTTTTGGTCCTTCAGTTGCACAGCAAACAAAACCACATATGAACAAACAAACACCAGAAAAGACCGGAGAGCTCCTACTGAGAACCCAGGAAACTGCAAGTGAAAAGTGTTCTGAACCTTTATGGTTCACATGGGATTTGGAGTGTCTTGTTTTGTGTTTTCTCTTGTTCTGGAGGGGTTACACCACGAACTTGTGTTAAGTAGAACATAAACTCTTACAACATAAAATATAATGTTTGATAACAAGAACTCTGCTTTTCTCCAACACAGATGGAAGAACATATGCAAAGGAAACTCCTAGGAGTGTGTTACTGGACATCTGTTACTCTTGGAACACAAACCGAATCGTTTTCACTCCAGTCGCTGCCGAGGCAGAGAAGTGTTTATTCGCAGTGCCACCTGGTGCCAGCGCGCGGGGCTGAGCACATCACCTGCGGCACAGCCACTGCTGCCCACCTCGATCGGCGCTGCCCTGTGCCCAGCAGGACTCCCACCAGGGCCACACTGCACCCTCAGAGTCTTCCAGCTTAACTGCACCGATCTACCTGTGGCTGCTGAACTGCTTGGATTACTGACACTCCTTTTCCAGCTGGTCTCGCAGTGTATACAGCAATAAGGCTGAAGTACTGTTGGGTGTTACTCATTTTTACCCTCAGGGATTTGATTCATTTTCGCCATTCCTAGCAGCACCATGGCACTGACCCAGCACACTTGGAGAGTATATATGAGAAGATGTTAATTATTTAATCGGACTGTGGATATAGTAATTATCTAAAAACTAACACACAGTTCAGGAGTCTGTTAAAGTCCAAACCTTCTCCTCTCACTTTTCCAAGCAGAGCATACTGTAGGGTTCAAGAACACACTGGACAAGACAGATGGGTTAAAGCAAACACACACAATATTTGTAATAACAGAACCAAACACCAACACACAGCATCATTTTTTTTCAAAAATGCTGAAAAAGAATGGTATTTTATTACATTCTGAGTGTTTTAACAAAGCAATAGTCTGGCAGGAGATTCAGACAGTTATTCAGGAAGATGTGAGTACACTTAACAACACAGTACCAAATGCTCTTCTGAAGGATTTAGATCCAACAGGCCAACTGGACTAAAAAGACTTCAGCAATACTGAACCTGGTGAAGTAGCACACTTCCCACACTGTACTGGAACCTTCCCAGGCCAGTAGAATATGCAGGGAAAAGCCTTATGGTTCTACCAGGTTTACTTTTCAGACATCTGTTCTGCCATGGCAGAGAAGCAGAACTGTTTTGAAGTTTATTTCAGAATATAACACACAAAATCAGTTCATCCAGACCATGACTGATCTCAGGCAAAGTGAAAAGATGTCACCCACAGCTGCCAAGGCTGTAGTATGGAAAAGGGAAGAATGACACGGATACAATATCCAACAAGTGATATTACTCTGAGAGTAAAAGCAACCTACCTCAGCCACAAAGATGGGAAGTTCTTCTGGCAGAATCCAGGACCGAGGATAGAAGTTGTACTCCAGAGGAAACAGGTCTTGCATTGTCCTCACTGCCCGACTCAGGGTGATTTTCCGTACCATCTCTGTCATGCCTGGGAACAGAACAGACAGTGTCTAGATGTGATGGCAAACCCACACTGAAGCCTCATCCTGAAAGCAAATGGTTATACCACTACTCACCGTGCTGGGAAGGCACTCTGGTCACTGCGGTCAGTAAAGCTGAACACTTTTTACAGCTTAAGGCCTGACAAACAGCTCTATCTCTCCCTGCCATAATTCCTCTGGTTTGCATTACTGTATCGTATTAGAAAACAATTAAATATCAAAAGTACAGCTCAGAATGAAAGAGACAAAGCTTTAGTCCAATAGTAACCATTGTCTTTGCCATAATCCATGATTATTGCTCTAACCTGCTGTCGTTCCAGGAATATGCAACAATGCCATTTAAATATAATCAACCACTTTGCAGTCATTTGAGTAATTACATCACAAAGAATACGTAATTTTGTGAACAATCAGACAAACGCTCATATTTTCCATTGGGAACATGACTAAAAAGCTATTTTTATGGAAAATTTTCTAGTCAAACCCAATATCAAGTCAGCACAAAATTCCTGGAGATCAGGTCTAGTTCTGAAGGGCTCTGGTTTAACTCCTGTACAGTCACTTGCTCACCAGGTCCCAGACAGAACACAGAGGTAACATTCATCTAACACTGATTTAAACCACCAGAAAACAACACCATCCCACACCTGAGTAGGAACTTCCCAGAAGCAGGAGAAAGTCAGGGTAAATAAAGCCTGGAGTTCGATATCAGAGGTTCTTACTCTCACAGCATACTAACAGCAGCAATAAATCTGAAGTAAAGGGCTTAGATAAGTCAATACCTAAGCTCTTAGCTCTTATTTAGAGAGATCTCTACAGGGATTAAACGAGAAAAAAAGGAGCTTAAAAAAGTAGAAGAGTCATCACAAGATGAGGACTGACATGAACTCCTCAATATTAAAAAATCCATTTAAGGAATTCTGCTTCGAGCTTCTCCCTGAGATAAGCCAGAGAATGAAACAAAACAGATTCTTTCCACTTTGAATCCAACCCAAATCCAAAGACACAGCTCTGTTATCGGTGCCAGATAACAGACAGTAATTGCATACTTCACTTAAATTACAGCCTAACGCTCTCTTTTTCCCAAATTCATGTGTATGAAAGTGGCTCATCCAAGCCACTTTCCCTCCAAAACAAATTTCAGTTCAGGTATTGTTCAGGACACCCATTCTGATATCCTTATATCCTTACCCCCCTAAGCAGAAATCACCCACCAAACCCAGTAACGTGCTAAAAATACTATCAGCTGACTAGACAGATAATTCACATGAGAAGAAAAACCACTAAAACACAGAAACAGGTCAAACAATCACGTTTTTCAAGCATTTGTCTAAACTAGAAACACAAGTGAAATACCTGGAAACTTGTTAACTTGACCTGAGAAGATATTGTTATCATGGAAAGACACCCCATGCCAGTAGATGTCACAGGGCAGGCGCCGCCCGAAGGGGAACTGGAAAAGAGAGAGAAGACAAGATTTGAAGCAATCTGGCAATGCCCATTCATTCCTTCCTTTTCCTGACACTCACACTCAGCACAGACCATTCCACAACAGACTTCTAACTGTCAAAAGAAAAGGAGCTCTGTATTTTGGTTGCTAAACTAAGAATATTTGTATCCGTTCACGACTCTAAAGTTAACAAAATAGGAAAGGTCTTTAGAAACCAAACCCAAATGAGTGAGAGGCATGGCCTGCACCAAGAAACCCTGAGCTTATAATTAAGAGAGAGAGAAAAAGCCCAAGGAAGCTTATCACCCTCTCCAACTCCCTGAGAGGAGGTTGGAGTCAGGTGGGGATTGGTCTCTGCTCCCAGGCAACCAGCAGCAGGACAAGAGGGCACAGACTCAAGCTCTGTCAGGGGCAGGTGTGGGTTGGATATTGGGAATAGATTTTTTACAGAGAGAGTGATCAGGCATTGGAATGTGCTGCCCAGGGAGGTGGTGGATTCACCATCCCTGGAGGTTTTTAAGGTGAGACTGGATGTGGCACTTAGTGCCATGGTCTAGTAACCACGGTAGGGTTGGACTTGATCTTGGAGGTGTTTTCCAACCCACTTGGTTCTATGATTCTATGAAAATGGATACTCAAAGCAAGAGATTTAAATGAAATAACTGTATTATTCATTTATATAGATTCAGTTATAAGTATTAATTTATACAGTATTAATTTCTTCCTGGTACTAATAGCCTGTAATTAAAATAAAAGCTTGCAGTTCAATTAATCATTTGCTGAGCATATGTATTTCAATTATTAAGCACTAAGGCAATTATTTCAACAACATTAAGCATTCCAGTTTCTTTGCCCATTCACACAAGATTTCACCAGAAATTGGAAAACTGTATATTTGTTTTCTATTATCAAGAAGATCAACTTTTTTGAGCAGTCTGGAGAGCTCAGCAGCAGCACTGCCAATTACTGACAGCAAGTTTCTAATAGCAGTAAAGTGGTTTAAAAAAAACCCCAATTAGTTTGTGTGAAGAAGGTTCTCTTCTTTTTCATGCTTGTTCCCCTAGACACAGTTCCATTTATCAATCCAAACCCACCCGTTTTATCTGCAGCTCCATGTAGATGCCACTTAATGTCTTTTTCAAACAAACCTGCTACATTTAGCGTTTTTAGGACACATTTGCATTAAATATCTGCCACCCTCACCACCCAGTGCCACTTACTGAGAGAACCACAGTAGTTTGCAGAAACCACTTGTTCTTTACTCCAAATGCAATTTTTCTTGCTTTAAAACATTTCTTCAAGCACTGGATAATTTTTTTCAGTATGACAGGAAAAAAAAAAGAATCTCATAGAGCTTTTGAGTGCATTACTTTATTTGCTACTTTAATTAAAATTTCAGTTTCCTCAGTAAATAGCCTTGAAAAATTAATTTAAAATGCTAATTGAGCAATGCTTCCTCTCTCTGTTTCCTCACTCACAGGGCTTGGAAACCCAATTTAAGAGAGGCAGCAGATTCTGCATTCAGTTCATTATCATTCAGCCTGCAAAATCTGGTTTTGTACAAGTGAAAATTAATTCTGTTGGGCTCTGAAAGACAATCAGTGGCCTTAACCTCTCTCCACAGGTACATCCAGAATGCAGATGCAGGACTGGGGCTCTGAGTGCCCTTCCCACTAAAACCTGAGCTATTTATTTATTTATTAAACGAAATGGAAATGAAAGGAGCGAAATTTGCATTTATATAACACCTTTCATCTACAGAGGAATATCAAAGCACTCTACAAACACTGCACAGAAATCATTTCACAACAGATGAAGAGTGAGCAGCTCTGGACAGGAATATGGAAGCACTGCACTCCCACATCAGCACAGCAACTTCCCTGCTCCTGAGAAATCAAGATTAGCTGGGTTTATCCAACAATGGGATCAAAACTCACCTCCTCATGAGCTGAAGAGGAGTCTTTATCCTCTGCACTGTACTTTTACATAGAGTAGTGTTTGGAGAGGAGCCAACAAGTTTGATTATTTGGCCCCTCTGGCAGTGCCAGGCAGATATAAATTAATCCTACCGTGGTAGGAGAGGCCTTCCCACCACATTCCCAGCTGCTGGCTAAAAGGAAAAGTGGACATAAACCCTGTCTTCAGCTACCTTGTGTCAGCTGGATCCGCACTAACCAGTGCCAAAGACAAGGTGGTCCCAGCCATGGGGGACAGAGGTCATAAACATGACCAGGACCATCCTTGCTGCTGTGTGTTCACCCTGGGCAGAACAACCAGGAATATGGTCCCAGGAACTTTCAGGTTGTTACTAATTCACTAACCCTTCAAACAATTTATTTTCAATCCTTTTCATTCAGATTTGAGGACCATTTGTCAGAACAAATAAACAAGAAGCCACAAAGAGAATAGAATTGTTTCCACAACTTTGACACGATTAATAATCCATCACAGTCAGATCTGCCTGACAGGTCATTTCTACCTTTTGATTAGAAGCCAACAATTTAAATTGTCTCACGGGTCACATCAGCCTGTTCCAGCATGTTTAATGACAAGTTAAATGACTTGTCTTCCAGGCAGCTTTTCCCAGTGTAAAATCTGGAACTCTTCCTGTGCCTCCACACAGCCACAGAACAGTGAGACAAATGAAACGCTCAGCACTGGGATATTTGATGCCTGAAACTTCTGCTGCTTCCATTTTCCTGGTAATTGAAAGCTTGCTGAAGAAATAATTTATTAAGTGATGAATAAACTGGGGATGCAGCTCAATTTGTGCCCATTATTTCATTTGGCATATCATGTTCATTTAAAGGATCTGACACGCTGGATCAGAGGGTCTGATCGAGTGACAGGAGGAATTGCTCCACTGCAATTCCACACACAGGGAAGCTCTGCAATGCCTTTTAAAAGGTCCACCCTGTGCTTTACCCCAGACAGGGCTAGCTCAGTTGGTAATTTAATCTACTCAAAATTCCCACAGTTGAAAAAAAATATGGGAGTTTTCTCTGTCTTGCTTCTGATAACAGAATCTCAATGGTCAACTTGCTCTGTCTTGGACTGTCACCTCTTCCTCATGTGTCAGTGCACAGAACAAACTGCTCCCCAGTATTAGCCATGTTTGCTCTTCCTTTTTTTGTGTCCCATAATGGCATTTACCATATGTTAGTTCACTAAAATGAACTCCTCCCATGTGGCCAGTTCTGTAATCACGGTGTGTTGTGTGTTACTTCTGCACATGGTCATGGGGCACATTGCAGGGACAGCTGGGGCTGAAGCTCTTCCAGCAGGTCAAGGGAACTCCAGCATGGAGATTTGGGAATGCACAGCTTAAAACAAAAACAAGCTGGAAAAAAAGATATGTGACACTGTGATAATGCTGTCCATTAGATGGAAAAGTGATGAGTAAAAAGGAGCCCACTTGAAAAGCACATTATCTCATCTCCTGCCCGGTAAAATGCTGCAGCCCTCACATCCAGCAGCAAACAGAGAGGACAGCAGAGAAAAAGCAAAAGCAGAAATGAGAAAAAAAGTGAAAAGTGGAGAGGGAGAAGAAGGATCAAATCTACTACATCAAAGCCCAAGGTGAAGTCGCATGAAAGGTGCTATCCAAGGGCTGACAGGAGAAGAAACATCAGTATGTGAAATATCTGCATTGCATTGCTGACGCAAAAGGTTTGCGTTATGTGTATGGATCCTACGAGCGACGTCCGTGTTCCCTCTGCTGGGCCTGGCAGGACGGTGCAACTGTGAAAGCCGCGACGGGAGGGACAGGCGCGAGGGAAGGGAGACAAAGTGACCAGAAGATGAAGCAATAGACTAAATGAAAGATACTGACTGAAGCAGAGAAGGAGCAGAAAGGATGTGGAGGGAGAGAAGGAACAGAGAGAAACGAAGGGATGCAGAGCAGGGAGGAAAAGGCTGATTAATGCAGAGGAACAGGGGCTGTGAAAAAAGTCACTCAATAGGACAGAAGACCAAGTGCAAGAGATGTGCAAAGCAGTGAAGTCTCAGGAAACTAAAAAGCCAGAATTAACCACCAAGTGTGGCTCATTCCCAGCACAATCTGTGAGGCTAACTGGTACCAGTGACCCAGAAACACCCAGTGGGATGGCTCTGGGCTCTCTGAACAGAACCTTAACCATAAACACAAACAACAAAGCGTGAGGTCCTTCCTGCTCTGCATGACACTGTGCCAAACAGGGAGCAAAGCTGCTGACAGACACTGCTCAGGTGACTGAGGGGGAGATGCAACAGGTTTGAGCTTCAGCTCTCTGCTATCTTGTTACTGTTTTGCTGCAGAAGCTGAGAACTGGGGCACTCTGCAATGAGCTTTTGGAATTCTCCACTGGAGCTGAATAACAAAAGTCTGGAAATAAAGTTTCATGGAGCCAGAGGAGGAGAAAGCATTACCCCTCCTGGCATGGAGCATGATTGTCTCTGTGGAATTAGGTACTCAGGACATTATAGATAAATGCAGGTGACACTCACTGCCACTCAGCCCTCACACGGAACTGTCTTCCCCAAAACTGTACAAATTCTGTTGGAAAAGCCTCAGGTGCACAGAAATGTCATCATCTTGTGAGGGGACAGCCCAAAGGCAGCTTTGTGAAGTGGAGCAGGTGCAGCTCAGAAAGCATACAGCTACACCCTATCCCTGCACATGAGAAACAGTACATCCTCAGGTTTTATTCCTTTTTCCTTCAACTTGTCTCTTCCAAGTGGACTACAAATACCCACACAAGTTCATCATGAAGCTCCTAGGAGGCATCTCAACTTCTATAATGCCATGTATGGAGCTGTTCAGGGAAGAGAATCTCTACAATTTGAGAACAATTATGATTAATAAATCTAATGCACAGTAATATGCATATATAATGCCTATAATACCTACAGACTATAACATACAATAATGTACATTATAATGTGCAATAAGAGAGATGCAAGAAATCTCTTCAGGAGTTAAACAAGGAGTTCCAAGGCATCATTCCTGTGCCAGTTCCCTTCCC